CAACAGTAGAAGAAAAAGACAAATCAATCCAACCAATTCAAAACCCATTAAAAATTGGGTTAAATCCTTATTTTTCGGGGATTTCATCTACTCTAGAATAGGGAAATCATTCCACTATGAGCAGATCTAATAATTCCTACCCTATAATCACCCATAAATCGACATGCAAGCAAAATGAAAGGGAGGTTTTTTTCTAATCCGACAAAGAGGGGATTTGAACAACAAAAGAAGAAAAAACCCCAGAAAAACCCAAAGAGAGAAAGGGGTCATTCGAAGAGAAGAAAAATCAAAAGAAAATAAACCAAGAAAACAAAAAGGTTTTACCTTTTCAAACAACCACCGCCGTGGGTTTCGTCGAGGCCAAAACAAACCACCATACCGAAGGTAAAAAGTCTTTTGTCTTTTAGATCTAGAAAAGTGGAGAGTTTCTTGGGATTTTTTGGGGCTTCATGAAGAAAGTTTCGAGTTGTTTTTTAGAATCTTAGGTGTAGAGGAGTAAAAGAGGTTTGGTTTGTTTTTTAGCCGCTGTTGGGACCACTGATTTACGGTGGCTGGATGGTTTTTTGGTCTTTTCTCGGTGGAGGATATGAGAAAGAAGGGGGAGGTTGAGAGCTTTGGATCTCTCCCTTTTAGGCCAAAGTAAGAAATAAAGCAAATGGGGAAGGGGCAGCCGGTTTAGGCATGGCTTTTAGCCATATATATCGAGTGTGAAACGACGTTGTTTGGGGGAGAGGTTCCGTGCGTTTTATAGCATAGGGGCTAATTGCAGTTTAAGTCCTTGCTCACATGTAATATTTTGTTTTAGTCATTAATGAAACTTTGTGATATCTTGTTTTAGGCATATATTTTTCCATGTATATATTTAAGTCATTACCCTTTGTATTATACCATTTTCGTTAATGTTTAACTCTGGTCATAATATATGCAAATCTTTCATTTCAGTCATTGCTTTGTATATTGTTGCTTTTAGGTATTATTCTTATTTACCCTTCAGAATTTCTGATTCATTTTATTTTGGCACTTTGTACTTACAATATTTAAAATTGTGTAATTCATGCTTTGAAGTCTCGTGCTTGGTTATGTATACATTTTGGTCACTAACTTTGACTTGGTGTCAAATTTTTATTTTATTTCCAGTTTAATCCCTGTTGTTTGACTATATTAAGTTTTAATTCCTTAAATTATTACATAATGTGGCCTGTTGTTTCATTTCCATTGTTACTACATTATATTTATATGTATCATGTATCAAATATTTATATACTTATATATTTTTGCTCATGAATGCTTCGTATACTAAATAAATGTTTTCATAAAAAAATTAACACATTCTTTTTTATCCATTTCTACGTATATGTTAGTAAATATTTTATTGTTATGTTATATCATATATGTATGTATATGCTTAAGTAATTTGCCTTAACCCCTGTATGTTTATAAACTTTGCTATATTATATTATTCCATTTCATTCACAATAATTTAGTTCATGAATTAATCTATTGTCAACATTCTGTATATCTCCCATACTTGAGTAAAATGTTTGTAGCTGATTCAAATATTTTCAAGAATATTCGTCGTAGAATATGGATGAAAAGAACTACCTTATAGAAGTAATGCAATTCAATACCATATTCAAACAAAGGGTGAACTTGAAATAAATCGAGCATTTTTATTTATTTATTAAAATGTTAGAAATATTTTAATTCGTTTTATTTTTATTTTACTTTTCTCCATTTCAATTTAAGTATTGACGATGTGAGCTCTTTAGAAAAAATATTAAATTATTTCATATTAATGTCTTATTCGATTTAATATTTTTAAGCAATTAATGAGAGAATATTCTTTTATAGATAAGAAATAATTGAGATATCTTTTCCGATGGAGGATTACAAATCTTGAGATTTCTTTTTAAGTTGAAGAATTTTCTCTAATAATTAATTCGGAAAAAATTACTCTATGTTCAACAAAAGGATCGTTTAAACATTGATTCAAATTTACGATGTCCACCGTTTACGACAATGTATAAGTGACTGAGTACCAATTTTTTGGGCATTGTGGGAGTGCTTATCATTCCCCTATGCGTAATCGACTTTCGGATTCTTAAAAAATGAATTTTTGGTAAACGCATACAAACTTTTATCTTTTAAATGATTTTTTCTTAAAATTGTTTTAAAAGACGTTTTATGTATTCAACATACCTAAACCAAAGATCGATGACGAATCCGATTCAAAATAATTCAAAATCCAAATTTTTATAATAAAATCATAATTGTTTTTAAGGTAAAGTATAGTAATGACACCGAACTTTTCTCAAGCTTACATTTAGGTCCCCTAACTTTTAAAACTTGCAATATAGACCTCCAACATTTAGTCCGTTTGCAATATGGTCCCCGACGTAACCGGTCGTTTGACGCCGTTACACTAGCGTTAGAAAAAGATGATGTGACAGTCCTCCAACATTTAGTATGTTTGCAATATGGTCACTGAACTTTTCAGGTGCTTGCATTTAGGTCCCTCAACCTTTAAAACTTACAACATAATCCTCAATTTCATTCTACACCCCAAATTCTAAAATAATTCAATTATATTTTAAACCCCAAAATCTAAAATATTTTAATTTAAGGTTTAGAATATAATTAAAGTATTTTGGAATTTGGGGTTTAGAATGTAATTGAAGTGTTTTAGAATTTTGAACATGAATTTTCTATTTGACAATGTTTACTTCAATATAAATTTGAGGTTTGTTGCATGCACATCCAACGGCTATTGCACTTTGAACATGAAAAATGCACCCATCACGTTTATTGCATAAATCATTGAAGTAAAAGTAACAAGGCCAATTTGTCTTGTTCGTAGCTGTCGCACTTTGGTATAACAATCCAATAGGTTTGGATGGATGAGCATGCACATCCAACGGCTGCGAAAATAGTAAAGAGTTTTAGTTCATAGGACTACAGCATACAACCAAACAATAACTAAAATAAACCAAGAATATCAATTAATAACCCATTCAAAAGGAGGACTTAATAAATAAAGGGAAAGAGGTTCGGTTATAGTCACTCCAAAAGATAAGGCGTTAAATGGGTTGTTTAAGATATACATTAAATGCCAAATACAACATTACCAATTGCAAATGCATTAATGGCATACCCTTTTAACATATAATTACTTCTAATGCTCCATGTTTAATGTTACTCAATAGTCAAACATGATGAGAATCTAAAGCAAATAGCGTAACTAAAATCATAGAACCCCATAATTCTTGTAAATTCATGGCATGTCAGTAATAAAAGACATTGTAAACATAGAGGACAATGTAACAAACATATATATGCTAGAAATGACGGTGCAATGACCAGACAACATATCAAGTAGCTGCTCCAAGTATACTACCCTATCATGATGTCTTTCGAGTTGCGTGCATGCAGAATTATCTTCTAAAGCTATAATTCAATATAGATTCAACTGTAAAATTTTCAAAACATGTAAAAAATCCAATTCGTTCATCATATATCAATCCCATAATTAACATGAACTTATTAAAAATAATACGAGCTCACAGGACGTTAAAAACCACAGTCGGATCAATACAATTCCCAGTAGTACCAGTAGTCTCTTGAATTGAGCCTAGCGATTTCACTATGTCAATACTCAACCAAATCCCTGATTTAAAGAAAAACCAAACAAGAAGATAAAAAAATTTAGCCTGGGATCCTCTTTCACTTCTATTATGATGGATTAAATATCTTTCATAAGGAGTACTAAAAGTTTTGCTTAAGAAGAAAGAAATAAAATTAGATGGGTTTGGTTCAAAACTAACACTGAGTATCCAGATCCTTGACATGCAATTCCAGAAACATAAAATTTCCAACAAAAAACACACAATGCGAGCTGAAAATGGGAAAGTGCGAAAGAGAAAAAGATTACTTCCGGAGAGCCCAAAAGAGAAAATAAATACCTTCTTGCAAGTGAGGGGAGAGGCTAAGAAATAAACGCAATCGGTGTTGTGTTTCAGCAATTCTTCCTCCATTTTTTCTTTGTAAATAAAAAGCTGAAAGACAGAGCACTGCTTGGGTTTACAATTTTACATGGCATAAAACTGAAGAACAAAAACCAAACGAGAGTGCATGTTAGCGAAAGAGACAGAGAGATGAAGACGTTGTTTGGGATTTCATTATATTTGATTATCTGTTGGAAAATCTTTAACCACAATGATTAAACGAAGAAATTATTATATGCCATTTATACAAAATAATTCCATCTTTGTTGGTGACTTTCAACAATGATACTTAGTCCATCTTAGTAGTATTTGTCAACTCTGCATTTTTATCCCCATTTTTTTCTCGCAAGCATCATCGAACATTTATGCTTCACATGAGATGACATGTATCTAACATTACACCTTGAATCGTTGATGGCCCGATAGTCCCTTCGTCAGGTCTTCTCTCAATGGACCCTTATTCAAGTCAACACCTCCACAGAATTCAAAGTTAGATTAGAATTTCCCATGCATCCCGATTGAAAAGTTAAGCTGGAAATGAGAAGAGAGAAGCGAAGAAGGAAGTTCGAGATCGAAATGGAATTTAGGGTTTAGAATAAAATTGAGGATTGTGTTGCAAGTTTTAAAAGTTGGGGGACCTAAATGCAAGCGCCTGAAAAGTTTAATGACCATATTACAAACGTATTAACGACAATATAATGGTGTCAAACGGTCGGTTACGTCGGGAACCATATTGCAAGCAGACTAAATGTTAAAGGATTGTATTACAGGTTTTAAAAGTTGGAGAACCTAAATGTAAGTATTAGAAAAATTCAGTGACCATTACTATACTTTACCCTTATTTTTAAAATACAATTGTTTTCAAAAATGATTACGACAGTGTTTTTCTTTTTTTTTTTGCGGGTGAGGTCCTCACTCATTGTTTGGGACATAAAAAAAGAATCTTTCAATATCTTTACTTAGTTCCTTTTTCTTTTTATATCCCTTCCAAATTCCCTCTCTCTGAAAACAATTGGTGGCTTTGTATCTGGTTCTTTGTGAAGTCCTAAAAAGCAGATATATTATGTGAAAAGCCATACAAACTCACTCCAATCCCTTCACTTGTTCTTCCTTCAATTTTTCTCGTTAAATGTGCTTCCGTTGGTAGGTTTTTAATGTCCTTTTCTTCACTCTCTTTTCCCCCTCTTTGGCTATGCTCTTATCCTTTCTAGCTAGTTTCTAATCCCTATCTAGGGTTTTTTATGCTTTTATTGATGAGGTACCCTGGGGTTCTTTTTCTATTTTATTATTTTTTTTCGTAAAGTATTGATTACGCTAAGCTTAATTTGGAAAGAAAACTGTGCTGCGGTTGATCTCTTTGCTTTTTATATCACCGATTGCTTTTCTATACATTTTCGCATATCTGGAAACGTTTGCTCATCTTAAACTTGCTTCTCTTCTTGTATTTTTGCTCGATCTGTGGAGTTTTCTTGTTAATGAAACTAAACACCATTTTTTTTTTCTTTCTGTGGATTCTCCCGTTTTTTATTTTTTGTTACCAAAACCGAACACCCTTTATTTTTTTTTCTATTCCTCAATAGCTTGGCGAGTTTTCATTTCCGATTGGATTTTTTTGTGTTTTGACTAAATTTTGATCTTCTTTGAAACACCCTTTTTCTGGAAATATCACTGTTTGCCTTTGATTCTAAGGAAGTATTGGTTCAAATGGTGCTTTGGTTTGATTTTGTATGAAAGGTTTGGATAAAATTGATCAAATGACGAGACAGAAAATCCAGATCAAGAAAATCGACAACTTAGCGGCGAGGCAGGTGACTTTCTCTAAGAGGAGAAGAGGGCTTTTCAAGAAAGCTCATGAGCTCTCTACTCTTTGCGATGCCGAGATTGCTCTTTTAGTGTTTTCTAACACCGGGAAGCTCTTCGAGTACTCCAACACCAGGTAAATTCCTCTTTCTTCTTCGTCTTCTTCACTCATAGTACTAAATTGCGATTATGATGTGTTAATTACGGCCTCAATTTAATATTATGCTTCTTCTTCCCTTCTCTCGTATTATATGTCATCGTCCTTTTGTGCTCTTGCTCTATTTTTCAGTCTGGTTTTTTCTTTTCTTTTTTTTCGTACATAGGAAACTACGCATGCTGTTTGCTTGTATATTATATTGCGTAGGTCAATGACTGAGATAAAGAGACCAAGATATTATGGCATTGAATGAAGATATTTAGAATCAAGAAAAAGAAAACTGTGTTAAAAGTGTAAATCATAATGACTGAAATGTACTGGATTCCTATACATTTCTATTAAAAAAAGCTTCTCCCTTTAGTAAAAAACACATATGCAGTACTACTATAACTTGAAGCCCAAGATATTTCTATATGTTGAAGGTTGCAGAAGCCATATTTTATGACTGATTTTCTGTCTGATAGACGACGCCTTCAGTGTATTGTATTCTGTTGCAGGTACAAGAGAACCCTGATATTCTACTTACCCTCCTGGTTCAATTAAATCGATTCAAATTCAAAGCAAAACTTTCATCATTTTGACCTTCAATTCATTTTTTTTATCCTTATTGCAAACGATGCGATTATCAAATTTAACTGGACAACGAGCAAAGCTTTGCCTAAAATGAACCTGGCGTGAACACTGATACATGCAAATCGTAGGTCTTATACAAAATAGGCACTCATTCATCATTGATTTTGTGTCTTAAACATGTTGCTTCTCGAGCTTTGTCTATGGCTTTCTCTTGTTTTGCTTCTGGTTCTTTTAGGGTATGGCATGGAACCCTATCTTTGCAAAACAAACTTTAGGGTGTGGTATGATGAGTGTTAGCCTTCCCAAAGATATATATGGTTTGCAAATTAATACTGAGAAATTGGTCCTTGAAAAATCTTGCAAATATCATGTTGTATTGGTGTATCCTTAAGTACGAGGCAGGTGATTGAAAGGCGAAATCTGCTGTCAGAAAGGATCGACAGATTGGATCCAATTCCATCCCTTGAACTGCAGGTTAGAGCTTTGAACATCATTTCATCTTCTTCTTCTTTTCTATATTAGCAACAATTGTTCCAAGTTTCAATCAATTTCATCCAAGTCTACATTTGTCACAAGAAGTTGCAATCTTTGAATATTGACACTCTTCACAAGCTATGACTTAATAATATATATATATATATATATATATATATATATATATATATATATATATATATGTTTTTTTATCATTTCATTTTGCTACCCATCATTCCACAAACTATTTAAACTAATTATCATAAATAAGTCATAATTATCTAAAAATCTTCTTTTAGTGTTAGTTTTCTAACTTCAGTCTTGAACCAATAGTATAGATTGTTTTTTTTGGTTAAATGTTCAAATAAGCACCCAAATTCTAATTATTTTAAGATTTATTCACATAAAAGGTCTATCTTTTAAAATGGTTAAATAAAAAATATTTTTAAAGGCTTAACCATTGACTCAGTCGAAGGAGAGGTCAAATGTTTTCAAACATATTCAAAATAAGGGTCTAAAAAATTTTATATGCTCAAATAATCGTTAATTTAATTAAATTTGATGATACAATATTATTATTTTTGTATAATAACAAATTTAACGTGTAACATTTATTCATTTTGTCACAATGGCCATAATTTTTTTATCATTTTAACCCTCACCTTCAAAATTTGGTCAAATTATATACAATTTTTTAGATAAAATTATTGTCTTTTTCATGACAATTCACGCGATAACTCTTGAGATGGATAACTTCTTAAATATTTTTATATATTATTTAAAGTAAATGTGGATTGCTAAATAAGTTGACATGTTTCCCTATTAAAATTTTAACGATCTAGTTAGGTTTTAGTCAAAGAAAACAATAATTTAATTAAATTTTAAAGCTAGATCGATATAGGTTAAGGCAGTTCTCTTGTTTACTGGGTTGAATGGTGGGAAGTGAACCTCTCCACACCAGCTCTTGCCTGGTCAATTAGAAATTTTGGACCAAATCCTAAATATAATAGACTCAAAGAATATGCATTTGACTTGTTTCTATATATTTTGTCCCTTTCTATTTCAACCAAACAAATGCATAACATATAATATATAGTTGGCTACAAAACTTAAGATTAATATCCGAATTATATACTCATTTATTTATTTTTTGATTAATTATATACTCATTTACAACACTCAAATTTGTCTTATTATATATGCAGTAATTTTAACACTCAAAGTTGAGTGACTATGAATTTAAGAACTCAAGCAGCACTGTCCCTTGCAAATGCTTGCAACAGAGCCTCATTCTCTTATGCCATTGATGCTACGATATCTGATATTGTTTTTTCTTTCTTGATTTAGCTTCAAAGTAGCACATGTGCCATGTTGAGCAAGGAGATAGCAGAAAAGACACGAGAACTGAGGTAAATCTGCATGTTAGAACTGTTTTGTTGTTTCTGTGTTAGAGCCATTGATGCCATCCTTTCATTCATAGGCAGCTGAGAGGAGAGGAGCTCCAAGGGTTAGATTTAGAGGAATTAAAACAGCTTGAGAAATTACTTGAAGGAGGCCTTAAACGAGTTACGCAAACTAAGGTGTTCTTCAAGCCCCAACTCACCTCTCAGTAAACCAGGTTTTCATGTGACACTTTTGTACATTGTGATTTAACTTATGCTGACTGCTTTCTATATATCAGGATGAACGATTTTTCAAAGAAATCAGCACCCTCAAAAGGAAGGTATAATATAATATATGTATATATGAGCAGTATCCGTTTATATTATGTAATTTTTTTTAGTTTTACACAATTTTAGAACCATTAGATGAGTAAAAATAGACCGTTGAGATTAACGGATATAAATGAAAAGATATTCATAGGAAAAATAAACAAGAAGATGATCTCAACCATATATTCTCACTCTATCCAACTATCCTAAAAAGATATAAAAGTAGAAGTTTTACTCTAGGTATAAGTGAATACTAATCAAGAATGGATGCAAAAATTTATGTCAGGGAATGTGAACTTAAAAGTTATATTAAGAATTTAAGAGTGGGAAACTATAAAACATGATGCAAAATTAGATAATCAATAAGAAATACTTAAAATTTATGGGGATTTGAAACTTCGAGAGATGTGACCACATCCCAATACTCCCTGGGTCCATCATCGATCCTAACCATATATAGAGAGGTATTTAATTGAGTCAAGTCGAGTCGAGTCAAAAATTTTGAGTTATTTGAGTTGACGAGTCCTATTTTATAATTCAAACATGATTTGAAATTTTTTTCGAGTTATGTTTTTTAAGTTTCTGTTTAAATTTAATTGTAAATATTTATAATATTATAATATTATTTTATTCCAATTTAAATGATTTTTTATAACCATATATGATACATATATATTTCTTCATATTTTTTCATATATGACATACATATATCATACAGTGTTGAGAGGCTCGACTCAAACTTGAAAATCAATATATTAATAAATAAAATTTTCGAGTTGTATGAGCTACTATTCAAGTTGTATTTTATAACTTGATTTGAATTTGAATTTTTTTTAGCTAAGTGGAGTTTATGAAATTACAACTCAAAGTCAATTCAAATCCAATCGAAAAAATCAATTTTTCAAGTTAGTCGAGTTTTGTTCGCCCATATATATAGGGCTAGGATCCAATTACATATAGTAAAATTAAAAAGTTTAACACCTTTTTAGGATCGTTAGATGAGGGAAAATCAAAGGTTGAGATTAACAGTAAAAAAGAAGATATTCCCTGGAAAAAAATCAAGGAGTTAATCTTAGTCTTTAATTTTCTTTCATCCAAAGATTCTAAAATGGTGTAAAACTAAAAGTTGTACACTATGTTTAAGTGGATCCTAACTCTACTTAAAACTAATAAATTTTACACTAATTTATAGTCATTGGACTTAAATAAAAACATGACTTAGATTTAATTAAAATTTATAACAAATAAATAAATATTTCTTTAACTCATAGTGAAACAATATTTTTCCTTTTAGGATTATGGTTTAGGGTTTAAGATTTAAATTTTAATATTTAGGATTTAAAGTTTATGATTTGGAGTTTAGGGTGTAAGATTTTGGATTGGGTAAAAATAGATATAATTTTACTTTGAGTTAAAAGATATTTATTTATGAATTATAAATTTTAATCAAATATAAACCTTTTATTTATTTAAATTTAATGACTATAAATTAGTGTAAAACTGATTAGTTTTAATGGTGTAAGCGGATATATACTTTTATATATGTATATATATTATGGTTTTGCCAAATGATTGCAAAAAGATACCTGTACTTTGTTTTATTCCCAAGATTTCTGTCCTTTCTTGGTCAAATGATCTTCAGTGCTGATAAATTACTTTTACCCTGTTGAATTTGAAGGGAGTAGAACTGACAGAAGAAAACCAGCGTTTGAAAGAGAAAGTGAGTGTATATCACCTGGAAAACTCTTACTTTCCTGCATGGTTTCATTTCATTCAATGGTAAAAGTTGATTTTGGTATAGATGGTGAATTTGCCACCTCATGTGGCTGAGCAAGGCCGACCATCAGAGTCTAATGGCCATGCATGGAGAAGCTTTAGCTCTGACATTTCTCTCAGATTGGGGTAACACGATTTTAGCACCATTCATACATTTTTTGATTTGTTTTTTTTATTTGTTTGGTGTGATTACTACTTTTTATCTGTTCAAAAAAATTTAATTAATAACAATGCATACACCTTAAAATACTCTAAAAGGAACAACAATGTTATATTTTATCATTAATACTACTGAATGAACAATATATACGAATGCATTTTCGTAACGATTTCAAAGGACTACATAAAGCCTTTATTGATGTCTGGTTTATGCCATAGAGCTTCGTCTGAGTATGTTGGAATGCTTGCTTGTTGCAGATTACCTTACCCTAACTGAGTGTCGAAAAGTTTCGAGGGGAAGATGCCAATGGATGTTTGTACATCATCATTATGATCCTCTTTCATCATCTTATTATCTTCAAATGGCGTGTCTCTCAGTAAATATAGAATCTGGCTCCTGTACGTATTATCATATTTATAACAAATTTATGGCCACAAATAAAACTTCTTGTTGAGTTAGTCATTCGGATTATGGAAAAACTCGATTAAAGTATATTTGGGTTTTCCATGCCTATTAATTTAAGTGTATAAATGATGAGCTGATGAGCCATTTTGTGATATCAGCAAGTAATATATGTAGCAAAATGTATAAATTTCCCTCTGTTGGAAAGAGTTGCTGCATTTTAGCTAGTGACAGGTTTTGTGTATAATCGCACCAAGTTTGATACTTTCCGAAAGCGTTAGTCTCGTTACTTATGTTCATTTCGCTTCCACCCTTCTCTTGCTTAGAAGGACAAAATAGTAATTATAAAGAGAGATTGAAGAAATTTGGGGATTTTATTGTTGCGGAATACGGCTATCGGATAGAGCAAAATGACAACTGATAATTTGAGAAAATAAAAAATAAAGATAAATAAGATACAAAATTTACGTATAAAACTCCTAAATAATATAGGGTAAAAACCACGGGCAACGGTAGAAGAATTTCACTATAAGAAAATAAGAATTACAATTTCTCTCAATCTACCAAGGAAAAAATAATGATAATTCTCTCTTGATAAAAAGGAGAAAACAACTCTCAAGAAAACTCTCTAAATGATGAGCTGATGAGCCATTTTGTGATATCAGCAAGTAATATATGTAGCAAAATGTATAAATTTCCCTCTGTTGGAAAGAGTTGCTGCATTTTAGCTAGTGACAGGTTTTGTGTATAATCGCACCAAGTTTGATACTTTCCGAAAGCGTTAGTCTCGTTACTTATGTTCATTTCGCTTCCACCCTTCTCTTGCTTAGAAGGACAAAATAGTAATTATAAAGAGAGATTGAAGAAATTTGGGGATTTTATTGTTGCGGAATACGGCTATCGGATAGAGCAAAATGACAACTGATAATTTGAGAAAATAAAAAATAAAGATAAATAAGATACAAAATTTACGTATAAAACTCCTAAATAATATAGGGTAAAAACCACGGGCAACGGTAGAAGAATTTCACTATAAGAAAATAAGAATTACAATTTCTCTCAATCTACCAAGGAAAAAATAATGATAATTCTCTCTTGATAAAAAGGAGAAAACAACTCTCAAGAAAACTCTCTAAATTTTCTAGTATTGAGAGAAAACTAGAATGATTTGGGATGGTTTTGAAGCTAAATAAGATAGGGTATTTATAGTTGAAGCTTAAGGACTAGTCTTGTAAATACCCTAAAGTATAATGACTAAATTGCAATTATACCAATGCCCAAATTCAACAAAATCTTTTAGTGGAATTTTTTTTTCAACTTTTGCATGTTACTTTCGGTGCATATCAAATTTTCAACAATCTCCCATTTGAATATTTGATTGGAACTCATATCTTCACACCATTCTTTCTACCTTGTACCTTCATATTGCTTACGTTTCTGACAAGCCACAAGAGGATCAACACCAGGTAAATTTATCAATATTGATTGTCTTCATCATGAAATCTGCTATGTTGTCTTTGGCATAGATCTTCTGTATATCTATCGTCCCTTCTTCCACCTTTTCACGAATGAAATGGTACTAAACTCGTATGTACTTTGTCCTTGAATGAAATGTTGGATTCCTTGCTAGATGCAAGGCGCTTTGACTGTCAGAAAATAGAGAGACATACTCTTGATTATGCCCAAACTCCTCCAATAATTTTCAACCAAATTGCTTCTTTACTGGCTTGTGTAGCTGCTACATATTTTGCCTCTGTTGTGGATGTAGCCACAACTGACTGCAATTGTAACACCCCTAACCCGTATCCGACCCGAATATGAGTCCGATATGTCACATTGACTTTTCAAACTTTGCCACTTAAAGAAAAACAGGGAAATTTTAAACTTTCATTAAAACAAAATACGTTAATTTACATAAAAGAGATCACGAAATACAAAATCGACCAGAGCATTCGTAATTAACAACTTATTACATGCCAACACTCTATACACAAACCAAAATACCTACTTTGTCAATTACTTCTGATCTGATCTTTTAGTAGTGATGTTATTCTTGTCACTTCTAGTACTGCTCTTCTTGTTTACTTTCTCTTTAAATCTGCATACGATTTCTGTCTATCAGCTGCTGTTTTGATGTTACTCTGAATCACTTGAACTTTTTCTTCCATTTCATGAATCAACTCGGGACCAATAATTTCTTTATCATTAAGCTCAAACCAATTCAAGGGCAAACGACATTTTCTTCCATAAAGAGCTTCATAGGGAGCCATTTTGATGCTTGACTGATAACTATTGTTATATGCAAATTCAGTAAGTGGCAAATACCTTTCCCACGATCCTTTGAATTCGATTACGCAAGCTCTAAGCATATCCTCTAGAATTTGGATAGTTCGTTCGGATTGTCCATCGGTCTGAGGATGAAATGTTGTACTAAAGTTCAATCGAGTTCCCAACGCTCTATGTAATGATTTCCAAAATTGCGATGTGAATCTAGGATCCCGATCAGAAATTATAGAAACAGGTATACCATGTAAACGTATAATTTCTCTAACATATAGATCGGCATATTTATCCATGGAGAAATCGGTTTGCACCGGGATAAAATGGGCTGACTTAGTCAATCTATCTACAATCACCCAGATTGAATCCCTTTTGTTCAGAGTTAAAGGTAACCCCGTCACAAAATCCATTGTTATATTCTCCCATTTCCACTGAGGAATTGATACTAATTGTAATAGTCCCGACGGAACCTGATGCTCAGCTTTGACTTGTTGACAAGTCATACACTTTGATACAAATACCGTAATGTCCTTCTTCATTCTAGGCCACCAATATCAACTCTTGAGATCCATATACATTTTGTTTCCTCCTGGGTGCATCGTTAATGGACTACAATGAACTTCTATTAATAAATCATTCTTTAACTCATCATCATTTGGAATCACCAATCTCTCTTGATAATACAAGTTCTCATCCAACTTGATGTCATAATCATTTAGCTCTTCATTCTTAAATTGTTGTAATTTCTTCAAACACATTTCATCTTTTCTTTGTAATTCCTTAATTCGATCCAGCCATGATGGCTTGAGAGCCAATTCCGCACAAATTGCACCGTCTCCGCCAAATGATAGTTTGGCATCCAAAGCTTGTAAGGCTGCAAACGTCTTTCTACTTAAGGCATCCACTACCACATTCACTTTCCCTGGATAGAAATCGATCACTACATCATAATCCTTGAGAAATTCCACCCATCTTCTCTGTCTTAAATTCAACTCTTTCTGAGTCATCAAATACTTTAAACTCTTATGATCCGTACACAAGTAGCACTTTTCACCATGCAAATAGTGACGCTAGATCTTAAGAGCAAACACTACTGCCTTCATCTCCAGATCGTGTGTAGGATAATTCTTTTTTTGTGGTTTTAGTTGCCTTGAAGCATAGGCCACTACTTTGCCCTCTTGCATTAACACGCATCCCAAACTGTTATGAGACGCATCACTGTAAACTACAAAGTTCTTGCCAGACTCAGGTTGAATCAACACTGGGGCTTCTGTAAAAATCTTCTTTAACCTTTCAAAACTCTCTTGACATTCGTGGGTCCACAAAAATTTTATCTCCTTTCTCAACAGCTTAGTTAGGGGTAATACTATTATGGAAAAGTTTTTAACGAACCTTTGAATAATAACCAGCTAATCCCAGAAAACTTCTAACTTCCGATACATTCTTTGGAACTTCCCACTCCATAATAGCTTTAATCTTTTGAGGATCCACTCGAACTCCTTCTGTAGAAATTACATGTCCAAGGAATGTCACTTCACTCAACCAGAATTCACATTTAGAAAGTTTAGCATAAAGCTTCTCATCCCGTAAAATCTGTAAGACAATTTTCAAATGCGAACTATGCTCTTCCTCTGACTTTGAATATATTAAAATATCATCAATGAAAATAACCATAAATTGATCTAAATAGGGTTAGAATATTCTGTTCATTAATGAAAGCTGCTGGTGCATTCGTAACTCCAAACGACATCATGATAAACTCATAATGACCATACCTCGTTCTAAACGCCGTCTTTGGAACATCTTTCTTTTGAATCTTCAATTGGTGATAATCCGGACGTAAATCAATTTTCTAGAATACTAAAACTCCCTTTAATTGACCAAATAAGTCGTCGATTCGAGGAAGTGGATATTTATTCTTGATAGTCACCTTATTGAGTTGTCTGTAGTCAATGCAGAGACGTATTGAACCATCTTTCTTCTTAACAAACAAAACTGGAGCTCCCCATGGTGAGATACTCGGTCTGATAAAACCTTTATCCATCAATTCTTGTAATTGAATCTTTAATTCTTGCAACTCTTTTGGAGCCATTCTGTATGGTACTATTGTAATAGGTGAAGTTCCAGACATTATTTCAATCTAGAATTCCACTTCTCTATCTGGAGGCAAACCCGGTAACTCTACAGGAAAAATGTCAGAAAACTCTCTGACTATAGAAATTTCGTCAATCCCTTTCTCCTTGGTTCTAACATCCAATACATTAGCAATGAACCCTTGACATCCCTGTAACATTAACTTCTTCGCTGACATTACTGAAATTACATTTGTCAATGGATTTCATCCTTTACTAAATACCACCACATCTACCCCTTCTGGACTTCTCAGCGTTACTCTTTTCATTCTACAGTCAACATTAGCATAGTAACGATATAACCAGTCCATTCCCAGTATCACCTCGAATTCGTCAAAAGGTAATTCCATCAGATTAGCAGGAAATTCAATTCCCTGAATCCGTATGGGACATCCTCGACTCACCATATTTACACGAGCACTGTGCCCTAATAGATTCGTCACTATCACTTCATTGCTAGTAGTTTCTAACGGAATGTTCAATTCTCTCACTAATTTACTAGTAATGTATGAATATGTAGACCCCGTATCAATCAATACCATAACATGTTTATCAAACAATAGAAAGGTACCTATTACAATCTCTGGGTCATCCCAATCCTCATTGGTCTTGAGATTATACACTCGAGCCGTGGAGTGTATCTCTTGTTGAGCAGAGGACTCTGACTGATTTCTTCCTCTGCCTCTACCTCTTCCTCTTTGGCATGCAGAAATAGACCTCTCTAGTTGTGCAGAATTATCGGCTACCC